GAAAGAGCCGTGCTACGGTGTTTTATGTTAGAAATCTGTACTGTTATTACAGAGCTTTGCTGTCTAGTGTGGTAGTTGTTGAGCTCCTAAAATATGACTAGTGCAAATTGAGATGTATTAAAAATGTAAAATATAATCAGGTTTTGAAGACTTAATACCAAAAATGGTAAAATATCTTAGTAGTTTTCTATATTGATTACATGTTTAAGTTATATTTTGGACAATTGGGTTAAATAAAATATATTGTTAAAGTTAATTTTAGTGATCTCTGTTCACTTTTTTAATGTGGCTACCACATTAAACTTAAAATTACAGATGTTACTCATGTTATATTTCTGTCGCAAGCTGCTGATAAAAAGAAAAGCACAGATATAGGCTGGTAGAAACAGTCCAGAATGTTGCCATTTATAGGAATGGTTTTTGTTTGGTTTTGTTTTTCTTTCTTTCTTTGTTTTTCAGATTTTATATAAATTATTTTTAGACATTAAAAGCTTTTACACTTTCAGTTTCAGAAGGTCAAGACAATTTGGTCTTTCCCTTTTCATGCTCTGTAGAAAACTAGCTTTTCCAATGGTGGTAACACTCTAGGGAGGTCATTGAAGGAGTGAAATCTGTCCTAAACAACTGCTCTCAAGCCTGGCTTCTGTCACCACGTGGAATATGCTCATTACCAGATGTTTATGCTTATCGTTGTCTTTAAGGTGCTGAGAACAGTTCTGATACAGAAAGTGCTCCTTCTCCTTCACCAGTTGAAGCTGTGAAGCCCAGCGAAGATAGCACTGAACATTTGACTTCTCGAGGAAACACTGAACCTGCAGCTGAGCACGAGTGTACCACTGAAACTGCTCCCAGTGCATCTCCCTCATCAGCTCCAAGTACAAAACCAGCTGAAAATGAAAGTGTGGGGCCCCAGGCGAATAATAAAGTCACTGTTGAGGTAGCAGAGCCAATGGATATCGAACATCAGGAGCACAGTGCTGACGTGACTTCTGTTCTTGATCTTCCCACGACTACCAAAGCAGACTCTGTAGATGTTGAAATGGGGGTACCTGAAAACAACCCAACTCAAGTTGAAGGTGATACCAAAGAAAGGGACCTGGAGAAAGCCAGTGAGAAGACAGAGCCTGGAGATGACGATTTGGTGGTGGCTCAGCAGATAAATGTCCAAAGGCCTGAGCCTCCATCAGACAATGATTCCAGTGCCACCTGCAGTGCTGATGAAGACGTAGATGGAGAGCCAGAGAGACAGAGGTGAGACTCATTCATTCACTATTATTCTATCTTTACTCTGTTGGTCACTGACTAAATCAAAGGAATGCTGCTGGCTACAGGGAGTACTCCTGTATAAACATCAGCAAATTAAAGGTAGTGTGTATGCTTTAAACTTTTTTTAAACCAAGAACAATTGTGTGATCATTATTTTTTAATGAAAAAGATTATATGTTTTTTACATTAATTGTTGCATGTGTTCCATATGATAGCAGAAAAGGGGATTTCATCTGACAAAGTTGTGAACTAAACCACAGATGACTGCCATTACTGGTGATAGTAGTAGGATGTAATGATGAAGGTGGAAGCAAGAGGTATTTGCTCCAGCTATTTTTGCTCTAAGACCCTATGGCCTCACAGCAATGCATACTGTACCCACAGTAAGAAAATACTAATAGGCCAGTGGTTCTCAACCTTGGCTGCACATTAGAATCACTGGGAATCTTTTTAAAATCCTGATTTCTGGGCCTCATCCTCTGGAAATTCTGTTTCTTTGTTATGGGGTGGGGCCACAACATTAGTAACAAAGAAACAGAATTTCCAGAGGATGAGGCCCAGAAATCAGGATTTTAAAAAGATTCCCAGGTGATTCTAATGTGCAGCCAAGGTTTAGAGCCACTGGATAGGCGAAACATGTTAAGTTTTCTAAAAGCATTTTAGAAAGCACAATTTAAATATAAGTTAATGGTAATTATAATGATCACTTTTTTATCAGTTAAAATTTTAGATGCTTTATTTGTAATTTAAAATATCAGGTATAATACAAATTAACTTATAAATACTTTTATTCATCCTGTGTAATAAAAGCCTAATATGCAAATCAACGGAACGGCAGAATGATTGGTCGCTGTGACGAGCACTGACCACAAGGGGACAGACGCTCAATGCAGGAGATGCTCCCAGCCCGCAGGCCCCAGGCCAGCCAAGGCGGGTGCCAGTCGGGGCCCTCCCCCAATCGCCCCGTCAGCCCCCACAGATCAGCCCTGATTGCCAGCCAGGCCTAGGGACTCTACCCATGTATGAATTTTGTGCACTGGGCCTCTAGTTAAATTAATATAAGAATGTATCATCTTTATGGTTTTTATAAAATATTTAAGTATAAAAATGTATATTTTATAGAAATAGATACTACTTTATGTAATACTAGAGGCCCAGTACACAAAATTCGTGCACTGATAGGGTTCCTAGGCTTGGCCAGCAATCAGAGCCAATTGGGGCCTCCCGGCTGCCAGCCAGGGCCTGCCTTCATTCCGCGCCACCCCCTAGTAGTCAGCACAAGTCCTGGATTTTGAGAGATCGGGCCTAAACCGGCAGTCGGACATCCCCTAAGGTGTCCCAGATTGGAGAGGGTACAGGCTGGGCTGAGGGGACCTCCTCCCTGTGCACTAATTTCATGCACCGGGCCTCTAGTATCTTGTAAGGTTAGTGTGTGTGTGTGTGTGTGTGTGTGTGTGTACGTATTGACTTAGAAGGAATTATGGTGATTATATACAGGGTCTGGCAAAGTAGGCTTATAGTTGTTCGTATGGAAAAAAATACAAGAATATACTCTGTTTCACATGCTCACAACTGTAAACCTGCTTTTGCCCCACTCTGTATTTAAAGTCTTAAATAAGAATATGTTAACTTCTCTTTTTATAATTGCCAATTGCAGAATGTTTCCTATGGACTCAAAGCCTTCACTGTTAAACCCCACTGGATCTATACTAGTCTCATCCCCAATGAAACCAAATCCAATGGACCTGCCACAGCTTCAGCATCGAGCTGCTGTTATCCCACCAATGGTAAGTGCTTAATATGAGTAAGAAAAGTCAAGTTGCAAAACAAAGACCTGTACAAACATTTCTTCTCTCCTTTAATCAGTACTTGATTTTTAAAGAAACTGTGGTAAAAACCCTGGCCAGGGTGCTCAGTTGGTTGGAGCATTGTTCGATCCCTGGTTGGGGATGTGTACGGAAGGCAGTTGATTGATGTTTCTCACACTGATGTTTCTCTTTCCTCTCTCATCTCCTCTCTCTAAAAATATAGTTAAAAAAACACACACACATGTCCTCAATTGAGGATTTAAAAATATTGGGGTAAAAAACACATAACATAAAATTTATCATCAGCTATTTTTAAGTGTACAGTTCAGTAGTGTTAAGTATATTCATATTGTTGTGAAACAGACCTCCAGAATATTTTCATCTTGTAAAACTGAAATTCTATTCCCATTAAACCATAACTCTCCTTTTCCCCCTCTCCCAGCTCCTGGTAACCACTGTTCTACTTTCTATTTTATGATTTTGACTACTGTAGGTACTTCATATAAGTGGAATATAAGTATTTGTCTTTTTAATACTTGCTTATTTCACTCAGCATGATGTCCTCAAGATTAATCATGTTGTAACATGTGTCTTTTTAAGATTTATAATATCCATTTTGTTTATCTGTTGGATATTCGTATTAGATTCATTGTGATGATTGATTGATATGGTCATTTCTAAGAAAAAAACAAACAAAATATAATTCTTTAGCCATAAATATTAATAACTTTGGATTTGTTTGTTTTGCTCTAAGACAGTAGTAGAATAAATAGGTAACTAGGTTTTGAATATTTAGAATGAAGTATAGAGTATGGCTAACTTAAGTATATAATTCCAAATCTAGTTTTATTTACATTTTACTTCATCTCTACAAGTTTGATTCTCTTTGAAAGTGAATTCCAATCTTTTACTTAGTTATGTTCTATCTCCTGCTTTATTTATTGTACCCTGGCCATTTTGGCTCAGTGGATTGAGTGTTGGTCCTGGGACTGAAGGGTGCTGGTTCAATTCTGGTCAAGGGTATGTATCTCGGTTGCAGGCTCAATCCTCTGCCCATCAGGGGCGCGTGCAGGAGGCAACCAGTCGATATGTCTCTCACATCGATGTTTTCTCTCTCTCTGTCTCTCCCCTCCCTTATAGTCTCTCTAAAAATCACAGGTAAAATATCCTCGGGTGAGGATTAACAAACAAACAAACAAACTAAAAATTTGTTAACTATCTCATATGATAATTGGGAAAAGTTAAGTGTGCACTTGTGATAGGCTCACAAAAAAAATCATTAAACATTTGTTATTCATCAGTTTCTTCAAATGAATATTTATTAAATATCTACCCAGTTCAAGACTGCATTTAATGCTGTATGGAATGTACACATGTTATAATTTCTGACTTCAAAAAAACTTAGAGATTGGTTGTGATCATAAGACATAGAAAAAAATCATAATAAAAATTAAAATGAACCCAACAAGCATGGCTCAGTGGTTGAGCATTAACCTATAAACCAGGAAGCCATCGTTGAATTCCTGGTCAAGGCACATGCCTGGGTTGCAGGCTCAATCCCCAGGCAGGGGACATGCAGGAGGCAGCCAATCAAGGATTCCCTTTTACCATTGATATTCCTATCTCTCCCTTCCTTTCTGAAATCAATAAAAATTAAAATGAGAAAAAAAAATTAAAAAAAATTTTTTTAATTTAAAATGAGAGCTTCCTTCTTATTGAGACATGTGAATAAGATTCCACTTAGGAAATAATACTTTGGTTAGACCAGAACACTTCATTTGACTTTTTGTAGCAAAGTAGGAAAGGCCATGTTTACATATAAGCCAAAGCACAAAAGCAAGAAAATTATGTGTGTGTTAACATTCAGTGATATTTTTTATTTATAGTAGCAGAAAATACTATGGAAGTATTTAGATAACAGATTCTAAAAAAGGTTAGGTGCCTACTTCCCAAGGATTATTTTGTATTCATGAAATGATGTACTGTGTTAGGGGCTAAAGTAGTTGTTCGTATGGAAAGCGGTCCTATATAATAAAGAGCTAATAGCAAATGGTCATCACGCCCTCACTCCGTAAGGGCTCAGACACTCAACACTGGGGAGAGGGGAATGGGGACCAGCCAGGCACAAATGAGCTTGTGAGAGAGGAATGGGGACTAGACAGGCTGTGGCCTGCAAGAGGGACAAGCCACCCACCCCACCGTCTCGGGCACCAGCGGCTAGGGCTGCGGCTAAGGAGAGGGACAAGTCGCCTGCCCCGCGGTCCTGGGTGCCAGCGGCTTCGACCCAGGCGAAGCTGCCCGCCCTGGTCCTCTGCGGCTGGCCCAGGCAAAGCCGGCCCACTTCCTGGGTGCCTGCGGCCAGCCAGAGGGAGGGAAGCCTGGGTCCCGGGTGCCTGCAACTGGCCGGAGGAGGGAATCCTGGGTCCCAGGTATAGGGCTAGGCAGAGGCGGTTAGGGGCAATCAGGCCAGCAGGGGAGCAGTTTGGGGTGATCAGGCAGGCAGGCAGAGGTGGTTAGGGGTGATTAAGGAGGTAGGGAGAGGAATTAGGGGCAATTAGGCAGGCAGGCAGGCAGATGAGGGGTTAGGAGCCAGTGGTCCCAGAATGTGAGAGGCAGTTGGACACCCGGGCATCCCGTGTGTGACTCAACCCGGGGCAGCGCCCCAACCCCCGGATCAGCCCTGCCATGTGCGCGACCTGGGGAGGTGGGGCAGGCACCAAGGGATTGGGCCTGCCATCTGCCACTCGGGGAGCAGGCCTAAGCCAGCAGGTGGTTATCTGTTTGCGACCCAGGGAGGCCGGGGGGTGCAGCAGCTCTCGGCTGGCCTGCCCAGGCGTCCTGTGTGCTACCCGACCTGGCCGGGCGGGGCAGCAGCGATCGGCCAGCCCGCCCTGGCGACCCGACCCAGGGCAGCAGGGTGGGACTGTGTAGCTCCTCTGTCACCCCAGTTTCCTCATCACAGCTCCCTTGGGGGCCTAAGCCTTTAGTTGGACATCCCCCGAGGGCTCCATGGCT